TCCCGCTGGAGAGGGGATGGAGGGGAGGGCCGTGGGGGGACACTCACCCCCGGGGTAGCGCCGCAGAAGCAGCTTCCGAACTTCATCGTAGACGAAGATCAGCAGGCTGTAGGGGAAGGCGCAGAACCACCAGGTCACCCTGCGAGGCGGGGGGGGGAGAGAGAGAGGGAGGGAGAGAGAGAGAGAGAGAGAGCGTGGGTGCGCGGGGCACGATTCCCCCCCTTCGTCTGCGGGAAGGAGCCCAATGCTCGAGGGCTAGGGAGGAGCGGCCTCACTCACTTGAGGGGGTACATCCGCAGGGCCACCCCCATCCCAGGGCAATACGACAGGAAGGCAGCCAGCGCCGTTTCCTCAAGGAGGCCAAAAATCAGGATTTTGTTCCTGGAAGAGAGCGAGAAGTGGAGAGTCAGCATCTATGGGTTTTCACGGTGGAGGAGTGAGAAGGGAACCTCCACGGGCAGAGGTAGTCTACCTCTGGGAGAGGGCCGTTCTGACTCGGATGGCCTTAAGGCACAGACGGGGCTCCTGCGAAGGGGCCCCGAGAAGGAGGGAGGGCGCCCTGAAGGCTATCTAGCTGTGGAAGGAACTGGGCGCTCACTTCATGCCCTGCTGGAAGACGGAGTTCCTGCGGGTCTTGCAGATGATCAGGTCGGCCCACTGCACGACCACGATGCTGGCGAAGAAGGCGGTGTGGCAGGTGAACTCCACCACCTTCCGCTGCTCGTACGTCTGCGGAAGGAAAGCGCAGGACGGAGTGGACCTCCTGCAGAGGCGGGCCTCCCCCTGATCTCTCCCTGCCACGGCCCACCTGGCCCCACTGTCTGCTTCCAGCTGTGGCCGGCCAGACAGCTGGGGAAGCAGAGAGAGGCCGCTTCTGCCAGTGGAGGCTCCATTACAGCACAGCTGCTAGCAACTCTCGCCAGGCGCCCTCCTGCGGGCATCTGCGGTTCCGGGCACTGCCCAACTCACCCACTCTTGGCCGTAGCTGTCCTCGAGGTCATTTTTGGAACGGTCGTCCCAGTCCAGGCGGATGCCCAGCAAGGTGGTGGGAAGGAAGCCGTTCTCGGCCAAGATGACAAAATAGGTGAAGAAGCCCCCGAGGGCCTGGATCATGCCTGGGGAGACACACAGGGGTCCCTTAGCTCCTGGCGGAGCCTCCCTCTTCCAGGGCTGGGCCACGGCCCCCCCAGCCCAAGCAGGCCTGGCTACCGATCTGCCCGTAGGCCATGCTGATCAGGCGCTCGTTCACCAGCTTGTCGGTCTTCGGGTTCCTCGGCTGCCTTTTCATGATGTCGCTTTCGGCTGCCTCGTAGGCGAGGGAGATGGCGGGCACCTGAGCAGGGGAGGAGGAGGAGGAGGAGGAGGAGACGCCCAGTAAGCCTCGGACATGGCGTTCAGTCAGGGCTTGGGAGCCATCGAGGGAAGCTGCCAAGACTCACCATGTCTGTGCCCAGGTCGATGCACAGGATGGTGACGGTGCCCAAGGGCAGAGGGATGTTGGCGATGATGAACAAGAGGAATGGGGTGATCTCTGGAATATTGCTGGTGAGCGTGTAGGCGATAGATTTCTTCAGGTTGTCAAAGATCAGGCGACCTGTCAGGCAGGGAGGCCATGACTGTTGGGGGGCACCAGTGGGAATCCCCTGTCGCCCCCTCCTTTTGGTTTCCCGTGGGGCACACACCTTCCTCTACCCCTGTCACTATGGAGGCAAAGTTGTCGTCCAGCAGGATCATGTCCGCAGCCTGCTTGGAGACGTCGGAGCCGGCGATGCCCATGGCGATCCCGATGTCTGCTTTCTTGAGGGCAGGGGAATCGTTCACCCCATCCCCTGTCACAGCCACGATGGCCCCCTGCAGGCCGGGGGCGAGGTGGTTAATGGGGGGGAGAGGCCCAACACCTTCCTTCCAGGGCACTGAACCCCGTTTCTGGCTTCACACAAGGCACTAAGCCCTGGCAGGGACACCCAGGTCAATGGTAATCGAGTCTCAGCAGCCTCTTGGTCTTTCATTGACCTGGTGAAGCTCCTTATGGGGACACAGCCGCTGGGCACACCCTGGGTTTCTGGATGGCAGGTCCCTGCTGGCCCGCTGTGTGCATGGCCCAAAGAGCTGAGCGGTCCCACCTGCCTCTGGCAGCCCTCCACGATGATGAGCTTCTGTTGCGGGGACGTGCGGGCAAAGACGATCTCGGTGTGGTTCTTCAGGATCTCGTCCAGGTGCTCGGGGCTCATGTCTTTGAGGTCGGAGCCATGGACCACGCAGGCTTTGGCTTCCCTGGGGGAACAGCCACGGGGGCGTGAGCAGCCGGGGGGACAGGGGCCGCCGGGGGGACAGGGGCCACCGGGGGGCAGAGAGGCTGACCTACCGAGGATTGACCTGGTTGATGGGGATGTTCAGCCGGACGGCGATGTCTTCCACGGTCTCGTTGCCCTCGGAGATGATGCCCACACCCTTGGCAATGGCCTTGGCTGTGATGGGGTGGTCACCCGTCACCATGATCACCTGCCAGGAGACAGTTGTAGCGTCTCCTGAGGATTTTCTTCAAACGAACGCTGCAGCCTAGGATCTCATCCCCGCCGTGGGGCCGCAGCACATCTTCCGCGAGCCTGTCGTGCCAGCGCAGCCCTTTTCTGTGCTCCCCCCAGGGCACGGGGCCTGTGCTTCGACCGCGTGGAGCTGAGGGAATCCTCACCTTGATCCCAGCGCTTCGGCATTTCCCCACAGCGTCCGGCACGGCTGCTCGAGGGGGGTCAATCATGGACATGAGCCCCACAAAGCAGAGGTTGGTGACCGGGAAGTTGACATCATCGGCGTCAAACTTAAAGCCACGGGGAAATTGGTCTTCGGGCAGGTAGAACTGGCAGAACCCTGCGAGGAGACAAGTCGGCGTGAGAGACTGGGCACACGCGGCCCCGCTCCCTCCGACCAACCCGCGTCAGGCAACTCCCCGATCCCTTCTTGCTCAACCCTCCATCCTGAGCACAACCGCTGAGCGTGCATATTTACGTAGCCCACCACAGGCAAGGGGCAGACGGCAGCAAGCGTGTTGGATGCCAGAGCAGGGCTAGGTCGGAAATGCTTTTAAAAGCCCAGACAACCCAGTGAGAACAGGCTTATCTCTGGGCACGACATAGCTACCAAGAGGGTGGGGCCGGAGGATGGAGGTCCAGGCCTGGAGTCCCCCGTGCCATCCCCTCTGAGTTAACAAGCAAAGGGCGATTTGTGGGTAATGACAAGTCCTGGCGTTCCTTAAGCCGTTGACGGCCTGCCCTGAATGCAGACGGCCGCCGAGAGAATCCAGGGCGCAAAGGAAGCAAGGATGCCGGCTGCCGTGCCAGCCTCCTCACCCAGCACTCTCTCGCCCAGCCCGCCCAGCTCCAGGTAAGCGTTCTGGAAGGCGTCGCGCATCTCCTCGTCCAGGGGCACCTCCTGTCCTTGCAGGAGGATGGTGGAGCAGCGGTCCAGGATGCGCTCAGGGGCCCCCTTCATCACCAGGATGTGCCCGTTCGGCTTGTCTTCAGGCTCGTGGATGGGGAGCTGGGGGGGGGGGGGGGAGAGAAGCTGCTGACGGAGAAGGGGAACCCCCGGCCCATCTGCCGTGGATCCGAGGCCCACCTGCCCTGTCTTTGCCAACAGGGACGTTGCAAAGATGAATGCTTGAGTGTTAAAGATGTGCCCCCCTCTCGGTGATCCATGTTGTTTGCCAGGTCCGTCCTTCCTTCCTTCCTTCCTTCCTTCCTTCCTTCCTTCCTTCCTTCCTTCCTTCCTTCCTTCCTTCC